TTTCTGTTGCTGTATATTGTTGTGTATATGTCTCTGTTTCAACTTCAGTGCTCGATAATTCTATTGTGCTTTCTGTTGCTGTATCCTGTTGTGTATATGTCTCTGTTTCAACTTCAGTGGTAGGTAATTCTGTTGGCATTTCTGTTTCTGGATACTGTAGTGTATGTGTCTGTGTCCCAACTCCAGTGAAATCAGTTGTCAGTTCTGTTGTTGTATGTGTTACTTTAGGTGTCTCTGTCTCAACTCCAGTGTCCGACAATTCAGTTGTCATTTCTAATGATGTATATGGTAGTGTCTGTGTCTCTCTTTCAACTCCGGTGTCTGTCAATTCAGTTGTCATTTCTAATGATGTATATAGTGGTTCATAAGTTTCTGTTTCAACTGCAGTGTTTATCAATTGTGTTGTCATTACAGTTGGGCTGTACGGTAGTGTATATATCTCCACTTCTTCTTTACTGGAAGACATTTCTGTTACCACTTCTTTTGCTGTTTGTGTATAAACCTCTGTTTCAATTTCAGTCAACGTGTATGATAGTGTATATGTCTTTGTTTCAACTCCAGCAGAAAGTAATTCAGTTGTCATTTCTGTTGATGTAATTGGTAGTGTATCTTTTTCTATTTCAGTGTCTGTCAATTCAGTTGTCATTTCTGTTGATGTATATGGTAGTGATTGTGTCTCTCTTTCAACTTCATTGCTTTTCAATTCAGTTGTCATTTCTATTGATGTATATGGTAGTGTTTGTGTCTCTCTTTCAACTTCATTGCTTTTCAATTCAGTTGTCATTTCTATTGATGTATATGGTAGTGTTTGTGTCCTTGTTTCAACACCAGTGGCAGGTACGTTAGTAGTTATTTCGGTTGACAATCGTGTTTCGCTGAGCGATGCAGTTTCCACTAAAGTTGCTTCATATTCAGATATATAGCCCACTGACGATGTTTCGATTACGGTCGCCGTGATGTTTTCTAATTGAATTGTGTTTTCTTTGATAGGTGAAGAATTCTGAGTCGTCAAAATAAGTTCTGTTATTGATGCATCAAGCGTAGTATAATTCACATCCGTTGAGTCTGCTGCTGAGTGTATAAAGGCAAAAATAAAACTAATAGTTATTGGATATAGACAAATCTGACATTTTTACTAACACGTCTCTAAATATTGTGAATAACTGGCATATGTATTTACTCCTCGTGTAAAATGGGATGCGTGGGTAGTTCTCTGAAATGTTCCTATTCGTTGTTGTTCATTTAGCGTTCTATATATGGTGTATTAATATATTTGATATTCGGGTATAGGCTGTAAGATAATACACCCACTGGTAGACAGGCAGTTCGACATTTATCAAAACACAGACCGTACCTCTTATGAACACGACGAATCCCATGAAAACTGAAAGTGATATCATGTTTAACATGATTGTGATATAATTTTGGTGAAAAAAAACTGCAAAAAAGAAAAGGAATAGCATGCAATTAAATAATTAATAATCAAATTCAGACTACAAACAAAGGTTATACAAAACTGTACTGCATTACATGTTGCTGCTCCAACTATATACATTGTTACGCCTGTGTATTGTATAATAATGTGAACACTACTGGGGTATATTTTACCTGGAACCTGAGCATTTGACTAGTGTGTTTCTTAGTTAGAACATTGAATCGCGGTCACCACTAAGCCAAAATTACTGGCTTTGTCAAAATTTTTTTGACCGTGTTAAGCCACTGTCCTACTGCATTCGACTGACGTAGAAATTTGTTTTTATTATAATGGGCTGAATTTTATACCGCCAAAAGTACTACTAAATACTGCGATTAAAGTTGGCAACATGATTGGGGCGTGGTTGCTAATTAACAACCCGCAACGGCGATTATATTATATTATATTATATTATGAAAATGGTCTTGGTTTTGCTTAATATTTGTTTGTGTATGGTCCGGCGACACAGGAAATTTTAAAAATCTCGTCAGCTCAAAATTCTGCTATATTGAATGATAGGTCATGTGACTAAAGCCCGCTGTCTCATTGGATAAAAGGGTTCAATCAGATGGGCGCTGTAAGTGACTACTGCGCACATAACAGATTTGTTACATATCACTACGCCTACGACTTAAAACGTTTAAACATAACATGTAGAATCTTTAAATCTAACGTTATCTAAAAAAGTGCACTTATAGATATGCATATTTGATTTTGAATTTAAAAACCTCCAGAATCATTTTTGCACAAACAAAATACCAAAAGCTATGAAATACAGAGTAACTATGAAAATTAGTCACGTTTGCATGTAATAATAATTTAAATTCGGTATTTTTACGGTGAATTATGCAAATCAGCCGCATTCATAGTTCAATACAAGAGAGCTCAACCTAAGAACAACGTCAAAACTAAAGTGATATGCCAGTGCTAAAGTAGTGTAGCTTTTAATGCCAAGAAAACCTGGATCAAAAACGAATCAACGTGTTTGAAAACAGCCCATATCAATGACACGTACTCTCCAAATTTTGAGTCTCGGTCGGAATGGTGGAGTCGTTTATTATTTAATATCTATGGTAACTTGAAATACACACGAAGACGGACAATGTCTCAAGGAATGTCCAAAGGTCTATTGTACTAGTTTTGATTATCAAAAAATCCTGAATTTTGCTCGGTATGGACATGGTCGAGATAAATACGACTTTTATCATACATCGGCATACTGTCGGCCTCTCTGTGAGGTATGGAAGTTATTTTTACGACTGTTGCGGTATATCAGCGCCTTTTATTTCGACCGGTTCTTGCCAACCAAAACGTAAACTAGTTCGACGGCCCATACACAAAGGGTCTGACAACATGTCAATGTTTGTTGTCTATAGTCGTATTTAAAACGCTTCAGTCGTCTCACCACGTGGCGTTCGAACCCATGGCCACGTATACAACGCGTGTGAAATATATTGTTTTCAGTGGCGGCGGCACCGTGGGGGCAGTGGCGGCGGTTGCCCCCACGAAAAATAGGACGCCCCCACGATACAATAAGATGAAACAGCCATACATCCATCTCCAGAAACCGTAAGAGAAATTTACCTAAGTGTACCATCACAATTTTCTCCCCTATAATGCAGGAAACAGCGTTTCAGAGAGTTTTAGATTTCAACATTTTCCCGGGGAGCATGTCCCGCACCCCTCCAGAACAGTTCGGGCCTTAGGCGCGAGATTTGTTGACATTCGCATAAAATCTTCGCCCCCACAGTCAAGAAAAGCTGCCGCCGCCTCTGGTTTTAACGCAGTCTGCGGTAGGCATTTTCGTTTCTTACACTGCGGCAAACTCGGGCGCGTTTGCCAACGTCTGGGAAAATATTTAATAAGTCGGGGAACATATTATAACATAGACGTAATCATGCGTGATGCACCGCAACAGTCGTAAAAATAACGTCCACACCTCACAAACGTCAGGGCGCGGCCACTGTGTTCTGTCATATTATTATATTACCATTTGAATGGCAGCCGTTAAAGATGTTGACACTATACGGGATAAAGCGGGGGATGTGCAGTCGGGTGGTGAGCGAATACAAAGGAACGCACATTACGTATTCATATGATTTCAGTTGAAAGCATACAAATTTAATGATTATCCGCAAAAAACATGCAACATCAGAAGGACAATCAACTAGAAGTAAGGGAAAATCAATTCCAAATATATTCTTAGTTAATATTTAGTAAGACTTAGATAAATGATAACTTATTTAAGCAGAAAATACGAACGCGTGTGATAACGCATGTTAAAAATTCAAAAGTTCACGGGTAGACGTGTGTAAACAGCGAAACGGTATGGCCGTAGGTCACTAGCCTGCTTCAAATAAAAGTGCTTGAAATATATTAAGGCGGAAATTATTTTTTAAATACTTTCCCTTCGAATAAACCTATAAGCATGACCCGCCTTATAACCTATAGATTGAGGTAAATCTAGTCTGATTGTATACTTGTTACGTATTCCATAACTGAAGAATGCATATTTTGTGTGAAAAAGTCTACTTCATGTTTTTTTGAGACAAGTTGAAAAGGTGAACTAGTTAAGACGAGACTTTTTGTGACACGCTACTTTTCTTGTGTTTGATTGATGAGTTTGAAGAAAGCGTTTGGTTATACGTAATGCTATTGTTATCGGCACAATGACTGGCAATTAACAATGGTGCAAAATAATAATCAATATAGGTAATGTACACAAGAACAATGTATTGGATACATTCCAATAAAGCTAATTATAATCGTAAACATAATCTGCTCATTTGTATAACTAAACGATTGAACTTGTGTATGGTAAGCTTGAACTGTGTTCAAAATAACACCGAGGGCGTTAAACAGATATCGATGACTGGTGCCAGCACCGCCAGTGATGTTGCCAGGCATTGAATGCACTATGAAACACATACAACGAGTCAATGAAAGCAACGTATGTTTACTATTACGATATAAGCAGAACGTGGTGCAATAACTATGGATGTGACTACTGGGAAACGCATTCAACACACGTTGTGACCCGCATATGTGTCTGCTAAATCGGCGCAGTGTGGAAACAACAACGTGGGTCAAGTCCACGGGATTGTGCTCTGAAACGCACTTTAACGTAATTCAATGAATCCATTCATGTCATGTGGTAGGCACAGATCTCGAGCAGTTTTTCGTCCCATCATTACTACGTTTATAATTCTACTATTTCGTGAATTATTAAGTATGCACTACTAATTTGGTCACTGTCGTTGTATTCATGTAGTATTGTATTATAACATATTTTAAACTAAATCTCGAGTTCCATTCTGGGCAGCGCGACACTGCGTGTATTCGTGACAGCAGTGTTAATGCCAGCAGTTTTAGAGTTAAACAATTCTTTGTACTCTCTTTGTCACCTATGACCCCGTCATTATGTCTACTGGCGTACACACTACCAACGTTCTATTTTCACAATAAACTGAATGGTGTCACTGGGACGTTAGGAGGAAATAAAAACATACTTCCTGCTGGACCGTTTTCCCAACATCAATATTGGTAATTCGACATGCGATGTACACGAACAATACTAAAATCATGGAGCATACATAAATTTAAGTTAAGCGAGCGATGAGTAAACAGCATGCGTACTGTCAGCAGCTTGCTAATATCGGCGTACGTGCGCTGAGGTCATTAACAAAAACTGTGTGGCCAAACATAACACATACTGGTGTTATTATTATTCTTAAAAAAACATTGGTGCATTTAGTCAACGTGTATTGAATACTACGTAGGGGCACGATCCACTATTTTTTTATTATTAATTACGCCTCTACATTCCAAAGTGGATGCAGTATATTGGAACGCGACGCCTTAAAGATTACTGCGAGAAATAATGGTTACGACATACTTAGGGGTGCCTTGTTATAAGTGACTAATGTATTATAAGATTAAACATGCACAAGGTAGGTCGACAAAACCTGTTGTCAGTAGAAGTTCATTTGCCGATTGTCGTTTGAGCATCGCGTAAAATACTTAAAGCCCCTGGACTAGCCTATCTATAGTTAGGTGCGGGGAATTCCTGAACAGTAAAATTGATAAAGATTACACAAAGTGATATAACATAAAAAAGTATCTTACGCAAACTCTTCTTTTTACTGTCTTACAAACTTCCTACATGTACACAGACATTGCTGAGCGTACGAACCGGAACCGTTGTGGGCAATAGAGAGCCGAGTACTTCTTACCATATAGAGTCTAAGCAACGGGACAATCAGGTATCAGCCTTTGTTATGTAAAGCGAGTCTCGAATCACTGTGCTGCTTAAAAACCCCGTTATATTACACTAAGACTCGAATAGGTATATAATCAGTTATATTAGTATTATTAATATTTGTTACACATACAGCAGAAAGTCTGACACACACGTATTCATTTTTCATCCAAATTAACATTGTGTATTATGTTTTGACAGAGGTGAAGGAAGATTTACGACTTGGACGTGAATTGCCACTTGTCGCTCTACATACTGAACACCGACCGTGCCACGAGTTCAAATATTTCCTTTACTACTGATGCATGTGGTTTTACAGGGGGTTTATATTCCTTTTAT